AAAAAAAATTATATCACATAAGAATTGGCAATTAAAATAAGTGAAAAAAGAACTCAAAATCCTCTTAAACAAGAAAGAATACTGCTTAAAAGAAAAAAAAATATTTTTCTAAAAATAGAACAAAGATAATCGTCTAACAAACTCCTTTTATCCATAAAATCATGAAAAAAGAAAGATTAACCTATCTGAAACAAGCAATACTTACGAACTGGATCTTATAATTTTGAACTACTTCTATCCAGATCCCATTTCTAAACCAAAATCTAACATCTAACAATAAATACCCCAAATCCCAACATTGTTCAAAGGAAAAAGTTTTTTGCTATCACGACAATTTCTTTATTTATTTTCATGAAACTTTGTAGATGCTTAACAGTTTCATCAATCTAGAATAAACTGTAACCAACTCAGGATAAACAATTAACAACCCTTCAAACCCAAAAATCAGTTACCAAAGATTATATGTTCTTAAGCTGAAATTGAACTCAACCCATACATTTACTTCGGTTTTTTTGTTCAAGTTTTGGCTTAATTCGATTCTAAATACAAATTGATTCGGAAAACTCGGGCATAAACTAAGAAATTGGTCAAAAGAAATCAGATCGCTAAAATCATCACCATAATTGGTATTGATTTCTTGATCAGATAATGCACAAATCAATAGATACTCCCTCACTAATTACACCAACTAGTTCCCAAAAAAACAAAAAAAGAAAGGCGCATAAACTTCGAAACCCTAACAGGATAAAATAGTTAAGATAAAACTTCTCGAAAGAGTGGAGAAAAAACAAAGCACAGATAACCTAACCTCCCTTCGGCAATCGCCACTGCTTTCTCGATCAAGCTTCCACAGTGATCGATCGCATTTATAATGGCGAAAGGAAAAAGGTTAATTGCTTTCTCTGTTGAGGTGACCGCTTCTTTTGCGATGGCGGTTCGATTCCGACTTAACGCGCGTTTAGTCTCCGCGTAGAGAATTTATCTGTTTTTTAAGTAAATAAATGGACACTTTAAAAATAGGATTTTTTTTATTTTCTTTTTAATAATAATAATAATAATATATAAGGGTTAACATCAATTTTATTAATAAAAATAAAAATTTTCAACTCAAAGATATATATATATATAAAAAAAAGATTACAACATAATAAAAAATCAAACAAACAATCAAACATAAAAATTAAAAAAATAATAAAACACTAACTCTAAAAAAAGCTCAAAGAAGAACCTATAATGCCTTCAAATAGAGAAAGTAGAGCAACAATAATAACCAACAGATTCAAGGCCCACGAGCAACTCCTAAAGTCAATCAAAACAATCACCAACATTGACCAATAAAAGTCCAACAAAAGATACACAAGAACAACAATAAATTTTTTTTTATATATAATTTTAATATTAAAGATACACAACATAAGAAAAAATCATACAAACAATCAATCAATCAAAAAAATTAAAAAAAAAACAATAAAACACTAACTCTAAAAAAAACTCAAAGAAGAACCAACAATGCCTTCAAATAGAGAAGGTAGAGCAACAATGATAGCCAACAGATTCAAAGGCCCGCGAGCAACGCCTAAAGTCAGTCAAAACAATCACCAACATTGACCAAAAAGAGTCCAACAAAAGATACACAATAACAACAATAATTTTTTTTTAATTTAATATTAAAAAATAAGAAATTTTACAAAAGTTTATAAAGATGGAAAATAATCTCGCTACATTTATTTTATTTTTTTAAACATACAAAAATGTTGCTTTGATAACATAAGCCCACATAGCCTCAAAAAAATATTTGGTGTGTAAAATGCGTCTACGAACATCCATGCATGCAGCCCAGTATGTACGCTCTCTCTTCCAACATTCTCTTCTTTATAGCAAACTAAAAATGTTGAAAAATATATGTATAAACTAGTCAAATAAAGAAAAAAGAAGCGTAAAGATTTAAATAAGTAAATGTATTAAAGATGAAAATCAAAAGGTGATTTTCTTTGAAAGATATTTATCATAGGTGAGTGAGTTATTTTAACAAATTTTTCAAATAAATTTCTGAAAATATGATCGATCTTAGTGATTTTAGCATTGCTAATAATAATATATTATTTTATTTGACCTGTCGCATTAGTAAAAAAGAAGTTAAGGAGGCTTTAAAGAAAGCCGAAGGTAGAAAGTTTGTAGGACTTGATGATCCCAATTGAAGTGTGTAAATATTTAAAATATTTGGGAGTTTCTTAGCTTACTAAACTCTTTAATATTATTTAAAAAAATAAAAAGTTGCTTGAGGAGTAGAGGAAGAGTATTTTGGTTCCCCTTTTTAAGAATGAAGGGAATGCATAAGAGTGTACAAATTATAGAGGAATTAAGTTAATGTGTCGTACTTTAAAATTATGGGAGAGTGTAATTGAACATAAGTTAAGACGTATTACAAAAAATTTTCGTAATCACTTTAGATTTATGAAGGGCATGTCTAGTATGGAAGCTATATATTTATTGAGAGGTTTGATGGAGAAGTAAAGAGAGAGTAAGGAGGATCTATACATGATTTTTATTGATTTAGAAAAAAACATTAAAGTTCCAGAGATATCCTTTGGAGATTTCTAGAGAAGAAAGGTTTTAATATGACTTATATTCAAGTAATTAAGAATATGTGTAATATAGTTGTTACTCGTGTTCGAAAAGGAGGAGGATTGACCAAATATTTTTTTATTTCAGTTCGATTACATCAAGGATCGACTTTAAGCCCATATCTTTTTTACTTCAATTATGGACTCTTTTATTAGATATTTACCCGAGGATGTACCTTGGTGTATGTTTTTCGCAGATGATATCCTTCTTGCGGATAAGACTAGAGAAAGATCTCAAGAAAACTTGAATTATGAAGGTCTACTTTGGATTCTAAAAACATTGTTTGAGTAGAACTAAAACTGAATACTTGGAGTGTAATTTTAGTAATAGTAACTCTAGTGACGAAGTTGTAACTATGGATGATCAAATTATTAAAATGTATGAACGTCTTATATATCTCGGGTCTATTGTACAAAGTGATGGTGATATAGATGGAGATGTTATTAGTAGAATTAGATGTTATTAGGATGGAGATGTTATTAGTAGAATTCAAGTTGGTTGGCTGAAGTGGGGGGATGTTCGATCCTATTGTGTGATTGAAAAGTACCATCTAGACTGAAAGTG